TTAAACCAATTAGAATTATTTAAACAGGTTTTTTAGTAATCAATTAATAAGATATAGTTAAATACCCCATTATTGTGTTATTTAGATGTTTTAAATATTACTTGTGCTTCAATTTGGTTGCTCTAATATTCAACATTTAATGGTTTGATAATTAATAAAATAAAAAAAATCACCAAAATTCTACTACATAATCTTTGTAAAATACCCTGAAGTCACAGGGACACGAATGGTAATATCAAGTTTGAATTAAGTATAACTACTGTCCAATTACGAGCGTTTCGAAAGTTTCATACGCGATACGAATAGTAAATCAACCTGGATTCACCTTTTTCAGAGATATACACTACTGGTTTCAACAATATAGCGAATGCAAAAAAAGGGTGTCGTAGACAATATCATTATCGTAGTTAATAATATTATAAACTTGAACGTAATCTTAAATAACATTTCGTAATCCATATAAATTTATAACCATTGTCAAACACAATTTATTTATCTATAAACTATTATAGTAAGACGTGCTTAATATCCTGGCAATATATTATCATTATGGATAGCTATTTATTATTTATAATAAATAACAAAATTAAACGATTATTATTGTAGTGAATGGAGACATACGATTCTAAACTATAATGAAATGTATATTTTTATTAATTTACTTTAAGTCAAATAATATTATTATATTTGATTTATAATTATTGCAACCAAGCATAAAATATATTAATAACATTATATAAAAAAAAAAAATGACTCATGGATCTTTCATTGCAGTTTTAATAATTCATGAAAAGTGTATTTATTATAGGATATTGCATACATTTATTATCAGATTAAATCATTTGTTATCACATGAAATATAAATAAACCTACATGTTATAAGAATATAAAATATATAAAAAAAAAAAATAATAATCTTAGTGAAGGATAATAATATATTCTAATAATATATTTTTATCTTTAAAATATCTAAAACTATATAAAAAACTTCAATTAATAACCGTAACAATGTTTATGGTAAAAAAATTCCATTGTTTTCAAATAAACTTTCATGTTAGATAAAATATCATACAAAACTTCAATTTTTATAGAATAATCTACATTGTGCTTAGATATATTTTAGAATGTTTATATTTTTATAATTACATAACTGTTTTTAATACTAAATATTATTATTAATTGAAATTTTTTTCATTTATACTATAGTGAAAAACTGAAAATAATTTAATATTAAAACGATAATTTCAAAAATATTAGTCACACATTCCAAACCATCATAAAACAATAATATACTAAATATTTAAATTTTATTAACTATTTATACTTATTAATATTTGTCTTTTAGTCAATAGAAACCCAATATCACAGAGTAGTTTAATTTACAAAGTACCTATCTATACTTGTTTAAATTTTCTTAAAAATAATAACACGGTAATCACGCTGTACTTTTCTATAAATAATTAATTATATTTCTCAAATTATCATTATTACCATACATAATTTAGTCGGTACAACGAAAATGTGTGCATATAATACTTTTATACTAAAACACGTTTTCCAAAGCACGTAATGTTTGTAAAAAATATGTACGTATTTATTGGTGGTTGAAAGATGAATTGGCGCGAAGAAGACGCGGTTATTAGCGAACACAAGTCACCTTTGACCCGCCGACATTTTGTCGGCAACAGACAAATGACTTACTCTCCACTTTCTAACTGCATGCGTACGAATGGGCGCGGGTGACCATCGTATACGCATTGCTAGTTTACATGCACATACATTCACACTCACATTGTGGCCACGTGTCATCATAATAGGTATTATAATACGTTACACAATTTGTTAATTGTTAACACGAAAACAATAGCCCAGTTGTAAAGCTATGTGATTCAAATACCCACTTCTATCACTCGCACAGACATACAGACACGTTGCATGTCGATCCATATTCGTCTGATGATCTGCTCCGCCGCTAGCACTTTCAAATTTATCGGGCGGTGTATACTATCTTTGTAATTATTTGTTGAGTATCTTATTAACGCTAAATGCTTTAATAGTCATGATCACTGTCAGTCATTATAACTGTATTATAATTCAACTACAGTTCTCACTTGACTTGAAACTTCTAACTTTTCCACCCGTGTGTAATATACATTGTAAATATTTCGATTTACGTTAATGTGCTTAAATTACATAATAAAATGCAAAGGACGAATACACTATTTAAAATATATTAAGTTATAAGCATAGTGGATATTGTAGTTAAAATTATATGACAAATAAATTAGCAATTTATTATAATTTATAAGAGTATTATAACGAACAATCATCACAATAACACAATCATCATTTGGGCGTTGTAAAATAATTAAATTCAGCATAGGAATTTAATCCACTTAAAAACCTATAGATACATAATAATATATTATTATCTCAAATAAAATCAAACGTGTGGTATATTGACGAGTGAAAAGAAAAGTGTAAAAAAAAATACTAGACAATAGATGATTTCATACATGTCATTAAAACAAGGCAATGGTAGTAGGATCTTTTAGCATAAAATATTTATTGCAAATAATGATTTAAATATAAATAAAAAAAAGTAGTTAAATTTACCAGAAAATATTATGATATGTGTTTGAATCAATTGGAAAATATATGTGAATAACTCGATGAAAAGTGTTAGCTAATGATGAACAATAAAATTATCTATTTTTACGATTGATCAAATAGAAGCAAAATAGATAAGCTCATAAATACGATTAATATCCACAGTAAAAAGTTTTTAAAAAACTCAATGAAAAATTCACAGAACCTTTAATTTCTGTTTTTTTATTTCATAAAACAAGTCTGTTGATTATTTGAACTATACAAAAAATACTAAATATGCATTAGTAAATCTATTGCACATTATTGCGATTTATGTGCTAAAGCTTGAAAACACCATATTATTTTATCAACGCACAATGCATACGTCGAATAGTTTTGATTTTATCTTTCATTATTATGCACATATCATAATACGACTAAAAGCCAATTGCGTTTCGGGTCGGAGAAAACTATTAGTACTCCTGCGTCTTTGTTTTACGGCTAATCGGTGGAGAAGGCATAAGTGATACATATAATAATAGTACTAGATTTGTTTGCAATTGTATACACAAACGTCGGCACGAGTGATGACAAGTTAATATATGTTTAATTGTTCATTCACGTATATCATTGTTATTTGTAAGTTATTATTTTTTCCCATCTCGAACGATGCCATTTATATTTTTCTACACAACATAAGTTGTTTGACGTGTCTATAACGCGTGTCATGTTTCGTTTCTTTCCTCCGCGCGCATATACACACTGCTACCACTACTATTAACATCATTCACCCTCTCAACAAGTTTTCTCAAACCATATAATAAAACTGTCATTAACATCGACAGCGAGCTTTAATGGTTTCACGTTTTCATGAACGTTATTTTTTCGACGAGTGCGATTCACCTTATATGTAAATGAAACTGTCTGACAGTTTTTATTTATTACATTATTTTTTCATATCTATCCACCCCCTACTAGAAAATATTTATCAAACAAAACACGTGCAACATCTATGTCGAATGTTGAAGCACCTATAGTTTTAACACAATTGCGTTTTGATAATCACTAAGTATAGGTGTCTAACATACCGCCGACGGGCCGAGGAACGTTCTGGCTCGTGACTTCAAACAGCTATATAGCAGACTATGCTGTCAAATAAAACGCAGTTAATTTTTTTATATATATTTTTAATATATTATTTTAATTTAACGAGATAAAACCAGTATTATTTTTATGAATTTTAATATATTATAAAAAAAATTGATAGTCAATCATTTTTGTTTCTCCTTTATATTTTATATGATAAGTACGATAATTTTAACGTACCTACTTAAATTATAATTTAAGCAACTAAGATAAATGTATTTAATTAATTAAGATTTTACAATTTTAGATTTATGGAAATTCATAATACCATATTATTAGTTTAATTTTTTTTTTTTTAGTATCATATTATAAAGTAAACTTAAAAAAATAAAATAATTTAATAAAATTTAAAAAATAAATTTATATATTTATAAAAAAATAATTATTATTCTTTTTATATATGTTCATTATCTTACAAGTATAAAATATTTAGTATTACGTATAATTTAAAATTAAATTATACTCAGACACGCTTTATATAATCAAAGTATGTAGAAAGTAGCATTTACCCTAGTTTTTCATCCCTAAATAATAATGTATACTTAATTCCAATATGATAACCTAAATATTTCTAATGAGTAAACTATGCAATAATGATTCAAAATTACGAAATTAATAACAACCTCGGATATAGTTTAAACTGTACACCATCTAAACATGCATAAAACATTCACGCTGTCCATGGAGATCTATCGTCATACGTCTTAAATATTTAAGTGAGAGATATCGCAATTACGAGTTAATAGGGTTATTGAAATGAATCACCCAATGATTTGCACTTGGTTTTCTATTATATTTCAATTACTATTGATATTCACCGTGTAACTGCTTATTTTAGAGATTTGTTTCAGATTCTGTGCATTTATCTCTATTATTATCAACCACAAAGGCCAAAAATTAGCGTAGTTAATTACAAAGTAAATGTATGAAATACATTTGAGTTCAGACTAAATGTTTTCACGACCAAGAGAATTCACATAGAACATTTATAATTTTATTATCGTTATAAATATGCGAAATTAAACTACGACAGAATGTTGGTTAGTCCTAAATAAAAAATTATACACTTTAGTTATCAAGACTACAAATTAATGGATAAAGGTATAAAAATAAACCAACATTATTATATTGTTTAGGATGCTTTTTTAACGTAATTTAGAAATTGTTTTTAGATCTATGACAAACTTCATCTAATTTAAGTTTGAGTTATCAAGATTCAACGGCTATGTACTTATTATAAATCTACACAAATTAAATAGACTTACCTTATTGAGTATTCCTCGTTTAAAGTTTTCTCTGCTATACTTTCCGTTTACACTCTCTAATTCCAAATGTTGAGCACATTTTCTTAACATTGACGCCCTCTCCCGTTCCTTAATACTCTCCATTTCCATAGCAGACATATTCGGTGGTTTCCGCGTTAGTTCCACATCTACCAGACCATCTACCGAAGTCCGTTTTTCGTTAATGGTTCGGCCACTTGGACAACATGGTTCTGTGTCATCGTTGCGCGTATACTTGTCCCCTTGCGGACTTATATCCCACGCGACGGACATATCTTTAAGCCGACCCAATGACTTTCGCCTGGTAGCTGTGTCATCGTCACCACGTACCGAGTTTTGCTGTTCCATGATTCTTTAATAGTTTTCAATACCTGTGCATATCTGAAATATAAATTTAAACAATATTTAGTTCATGATATAATTCAATTAGTCAAATATGTTTATATGAATTAAGTCTATTTAGAATATTACAATGCACTTGAAATTATTAATTAAGGTTTTTTTTATTTTTTATTTTAGGTAATAATTAAAATTATATAGATTTATATTATTTAAAGTTTTAACCTGTAAATTATCAAAATATATTATTAAACTATATTATAGTATGCACTTCAATAAAATACAAAACAAAAGAAAACAGTTAAACAGATTATAATTTTAATTTATTTTATTTTAAAACTAACATGATTTAAGCTCGTTAAAAGTTATACGTATTTTTTAATTTAATGTTCATCAGAAAACTGTATAAGACTGTTGTTACAGACTTTTCATAATAAATATTTATAGGCACTAAACATACCACATTACACTTATAAGTTATAATAAATTATATCTTTTAAATATTTTATCACATTTATTTGTAATTTACATCGAAATTGTTTTATTTTAAGAGGAAGTCTATTTATTACATTCATCTATCATAAATTATGATTTAGTCGAACGTTTTCAGAATCAAACAGTATGTTACTGGGTGCGTATATCAATTCTTATTACCCGATGACCGGTTAGGATTTCGTGAGTAGCCCGCCCAATCGATTTTTTTTCTATTTACATTGTTCAAACAAACATACACATCATTTCGCTGTCAGATTGATCTTTTATATAATTTCCAAAACGGCACAGCAGTCGGTCGGTCAGTATTATTATTTATAATGTTGATTGATCGACGATTAAAACGGTGTACTTTATCGGTACCGACGCTGTAACAAGATCAGTTCGGTTAGTTTACACTCGCATACATGTTTTTTTCAGGTCAAAAACGATGTCGTGTCTTAAGCGACCGACCATAAGTCTCAAAAAAGATAAACGTTTGTATTGTAATCACACGAGTCACGAATCACTGGCACTTACTTTACAGTAAAATAATGACGCTAAAAATAAATGCTTGTGCTGAGATTGACGCATGACAGCAATTTTATATCTTCAGACTCAAAAGAAATTAAAAATCTTATGTTATAATTTCAAACATAACAAAAAAAGTGTTAGTGTTATAACTGTTTTTTTATTCGTTTTAAAATCGAAATAAAAAATAATAAATACTTTAGAATAGTTAAAATTTATGAATTTAACCGAAATTAAAAAAAAAAAAGTTTTTAATAAATATATTGTACATAGTGTAATCTTTGTTGTCAGTTTCAAGTATTTTAAAAATATAATATATTTAAGTAGGTGGTTTTGTCAGCTATTAACAATTAATTAGTTGTATACCTACCTATATTTTTAGTTTATAAAAAATGTGTTTACTTAACTGATTTAAGTAATAATTATTAAACAATGATTCAAAAATGAATTAAAAATTAAGATTCAGCTAAAATTTCGTTAGTAGTTTTACCTGTAAACGTTTAACGTTAAATTACTATCATCGATCTTTTGCTATTTTATATAACTTTATAACATTATCTCCACGTTTTAAAAAATATCTAAATGTATTTTGTTGTAGGCTCTTATTTTTTACCAAAAATAAACCTCACTTTTAGTAACAGAAAATGTATTTTAAATGTGAAGTTGAATATTTTAAAAATACGCTTGGAGAGCAAACAGTAATATATACATAGACGATTTTATAGAGATCGTTATGTTTAAAATCAGTGACCTAGAACAATTTTAAAACGTTTTTCATGTAAAACAAAATTTGTATATTTTATAATATTATAAGAAAACAGCATCTGACAACTAACGATACTAGTTCGTTTGCATATGCATATAGCTAAAACCAATATTATAATTTCACTTAATGTATATTTAACTTCTACAAAATATACATTAAATTTATAAATATTTCTATGTGCAAATAAATGTATGGATGCTTATTACATTAAAAATATAATAATAAAAACATATTTTAGATAAAATATGATACTATATATGAATTACTCGGTACCTTATTATACATAAAATAATAAATTTTAAAATCTTCATATGTATTTTATTTACTTTAAAAAACTAAAATTATATACATAATTAATTATACAGTATAATAAATTTTTAGAATACAAATACATTTATTTCCAGAGCATAATATAGTAAGTAGCATTAAATTATTTATTAAAATATATCAATAAAAATAGATAAATTATTTTGTTGAATTAGTATCGTTATTTGTCAAAAAATATATGGGAATATTTTATCACCTTTAAATATTAATCTAAATGATATATGTACAATATCTTATTTCTTGTTAAAAATAATTTATTTTTACATTTTTTATCCATTAACTAATTATTTTAAACTAGTTTATTCAATATTAAAAAAAATATATTACCTATTACGTAAAGTTATTATATTGACTATGTTAACAAAAACAAGTCCTTATCAAAAATATAAATTTGAAAATAAGTGTTATTTTTATTTTGTATATACCTGAACATATAATTTATAAGTATTAAATATTACTATAGTATATAATATACATAAATGTAGTTCTATAACTACATTATATTTCGAGATTTCTAGTAAATAGAAATTAAATTCGAAAAGAGTAATACAGTTATTATACATACAAAATGATTTTGTAATAAATTTGAAAAGCACAAACATATTTACTAGGTACAAGTATACTCATACTTTATTTTAAATAGTTCTACAACCCACGGCTACGTAGTATGATCATGGTAACCTCACATTATTTACATAATATGTACAGTTCCATGATTTAAAATAGCTGTTTATGTTTTTAATTTTTAAATTTATTTTTTTATAACCAAGCTGTTTTTACAATTTTATTTCTCGCAAAAGCAATTGATAAATCAGTTTAATGTACAATTTGTATGTGTTATTCGCTCTGTGGACAAATTAGCGCCATTTGTTCTTTCCGGGAGTCGCACGCATATATGAATCATAAATAAGCTGAACTGTTATAATCATAATATTACATATTTATATGGAAAAAATAAACACGAAACGGACAGGTACGTTAATATTATGTATCCAGATATGTTGGTTATGTTTACACATGGCCACATTATTGTGTCGTGACCGACTAAATAAGCAATTTAAAGAAACCACAAGTCCGACTGTACTTATACTGTATTCTGCAGATGCTAAACCACAATCAAGTTCAATTATAATAATATGTCTATATAAATCAAAAAATTGAAAAAAATTGTATATAATATGTTTATTTAATGTAATTAACTATTGAAATGTTGTACCTGTTAATAATATTCATAAGAAGATATTTGACATTATGTCAAAACAATATACACATTAAATCGATTGTATTATCTTAGGTCAACACTCTGCTACAGTTTAAAACTGCAGAAGTATTTTGTTGTTTTATATATTATATTGTGTGGTATATATATTTTTTACAGTCTTTCATCAAATGGAATTTATAATCAATCATATCATTATTTTTCCAACTATATAAAAATAATAATAATGAATAACAGAAAAACAGATAGAAAGATATATAGTTAGTTATTAATTTTCGCGCAAATAGCCGGAGGTTTAATATATGCCAAGTAAAACAGAAATCGTACAAATCGAAAACTAGATCTACATACGGTTATTATTTTATGTTCAGAGAAATATTTCTCAACAGTTATGTACTTATGTATATATTTGTCGAAGAATATTGTTTGAGATGTTATGGATATATTTATAATTTCCAAACGATATTTTACTGTCAAACAATAGAAATAATATGTTTGATTATTGGTACCTATTGGCTATACGAGTATTACTATATTACTATAGAATGCCATGTATGATTTTTAAAAATGGTTTCTTTTTACATAACTTCATAATGTTTTAAAAAACGCCTGACCAAATATTTAAACGACTGGAGGGCAGTAAGATGGTACCTATATAAATAGGTGCATTATAATTCTGTACTATAGAACCCAACACGTTATTAACCAACAATAAACAATATAGCATACAGTTATAAAAATAAAAGTATTTTTCATGCTTAACCTAATACATATAATAAATAGGTGAAATTATAAAAAATAAAATGATAATTTAAAACTATTCAATATTATGTTTAAGCTTAAATTAATAATGTCATGGATTAAAGTATAGAAAATATTTAACAAATTATTAAATAATAAATATTATACGTATTTATGATATATTAAATTTTGCATAAAAATAATATAATATACATTACTATATTATACAAATACGTTTAAATTACTTACAATTTTTTTAGTATCTAATATAATAAATTACAAAATTTTTATACAATAGAAAATTATAAAATATAAAAAGTTCAAATTTAAGAAAATAAAAGTGAATTAGCTATAAACTAAAATAGTTACACCTAATAGTAAATACTCAATAACAAATAAAGTTATTGAATTTTTTTTAGAATTCACATAATTACTTATATTTCTAATATAAGTATGTGTTGCAGCAGTGTTATGTATTAATATGTCAAAGTTGTATTTTCTCAAATTAAACAATAATAAAAATTAATTTGTGTTAGGCAATCTTAATTATATAAGTAAAAAATATATTGAAGATGTATTGTTTTTTTATGAAATGGTTTTCACGGAGGCATATAAAATACTAGAAATTTCAACTCATTTTTATTTTTTCTTATATAATTACTATTATTATTATAAATTTAAAAATAAATCAATTAATATAATGATTTAAGGATAATTGTATTATTAATTTAATTATTATAATTTTAAATAATTTGTAAAAATGATTTATGAATAATATAAATTGGAACATTTAAAGAAATTAAGATAAAATAAACTTTTAATTATTTTTAATAATTACAACTTTATAATTAACAATTCATTATTACCTTATATTGAATAGTTTTTTTATTACCTAATAACAGTAATTAATACTATTAGGATATACTTAGTTTTAATAAATATTTATTCATTTTAATATAAACAATTTAATAATTGTTTTTACTTCAAATTTGTATAATTATAAATTAAATTTTTATTATGTTTTAAAATTAAGTCTATATTTGGTGTTTATATTTATATTTACATGTATTGTCCATCTCGCTTTTTATAATAATAATTTATAATTATTTATTAAATTATATTATTATATATTAAACTTTCAAAATAGTTGTATTGAAATATTTGTAAGTAAATTAAACATTTAAATCAATAAAAGCTTATATAGACTTAAAACATTATATATTGAAGATATGACAGCTAACTGTATATATACCGCAAAATATCAAAAATAGTTTATTTTAATGCACCATTTTTTTAAATATATTATTTTTATTTTAATATATATATTTTTTTTATTGAAGTAAAAAAAATAAAAAATAATCCACTTATTTTAATTTTCATATTAGGCGTGTATAAAATAATATTATCATAATATAGTTGAACATACCTAAATATTTTATTTTCATCCAATATAATAATAATATCGTTAGTAAAATTTGTAACAAACAAAAGCACAGAAAATCCAGAAATTAACTCGCAGTAAGATAATTAAAATCAAAAAAACGTAACTGTTAATATCCCGACTCTGAAATTAAACCGATAAACTAGACGAACTCGTGTTATTTTGCGTGTCGGGTGACCGGAGCCGACAATTGGTAACTGGAGGTTTAAAACTCGTCTTCCAGATACCCAGCATCCCGCAACAAGGCGGTATCCGTTCCTCTCTCTGCCCCTTCCCTTGTTTATATTATTTTATACTTACCTTACACTGCCCATTTGAATACGATATACATTGCAACTATCTAATGTGTAACAGCGATACATTTAACTAATAAAATACCAACGCACAAGGATTTTAGTGGAAATTGTGACAACTCAAGGTAATTTTACTCACCGATACTGACCAATCAGGCCTTTGATAACGCCCGTTTTGTTAACATTTTTTCTCTGTAGTGATTTACAAACTTCAAATAATAATTTAACTAGTCATTAAAGTTCTCTTTAATCAATACAGAAGTTTTTTTCTTGGAAACATACATTGGACGATTTATGTGAATAAACAAAGTTTAACATAAAAATACATTATATAATCAAGAAAAAAATCTGGTTAATAATTTATTGAAAATAATTTTTTTATATGTTTATATAACAATTAAATAAGTATTTAAATAAACTTTTTAATATTCAATAATTATTGAACATTAATATATAAATAACAAATATATTTCAAAACCAATAATAAATGTCAAAGCAAAAATTAATCCTACGCATACAATTGAATAGGCTTATTTATTTGTAAATAATGTTAGATAAGTTAATTAATTATTGTCATAAGTGACTCGCTGTAAAAAATATTAACAATATATTTTATATTATTTTTTTGAGAATAAAACTTTACATATAATTATTTTTACTAAAGTCGATAAAACCATTAATTAGCCAATACGAGTATAATATTGCAATTATATATTATATATAAAGTACATATTTTTGCGATTTTAAATTATTGTAAGTAGAATTAATAGTAATTATATAGGACCACAAAAATGTATCAATTAATTTAAAAATAGTTACTATACACATTAATTGACACTTGGTGACAACAAGTCAGAAGTTTTTTAAGATTCCGGTTGAACGATGTCGGTGGTGGCCAGTTCCACAAACGGACAAAACCGCATGTTAATACGATCCGTAGGTTCATAAAGTATACCGCGGGAAACGAGATGCAATCGATGTTTGATACACATACTATATACGTGTGTGGTTTTATTTTTTATCCACCAGAAAAAAAAAACAACATGTATTACCTATAATGTCACTGAATAGCGAAAACCGAAGTCATAGCGTATGTATTATGAATTACATTTAGATTTTAGATTAATGAAGAAAACTATTACGACCAAACTACAAACATAATTAAAGACACTACACTAATAATGGTAATACAATTTAATTTGTCTGTATGTTTATCCAATATTTTATATTTGTGATTCAAATAATAAATAATAAATACAACCTTTTTAGATCAATACAAATATAATATGTTGTACAATATTTGTATATAATGCATAAATATATACGTACCTATTATAATAATAATTATTTAATATATTGCATTCATTATAGGTGTACGTGAATAATGCTAGTTATTTAAAAATCTTTTAACATGTTGACGGAAATATGTCTTGTTAAAATAATTTCTTAAGAAATGTAGATTATATGATGGATAAAATGTATATGTTATATTATTATTCCAGTTTATCCATGAAATTGATTCATGATATTATTGGTATTCCAAAGGTTCTAATTAAAAATACAAGTACAAATCCAATTAAGTGGAATTTTTTGCGCGTGTTTTGATTGCTAATTTTTCCTAGCTTAACCTCTAGAAATACTTGTTATTTTTAAGCATACATTGAATACCTATCAAGCAGTTATATAACTACTATTTCAACAATTAACGCTTTAAAAAATACAGTATAGATAGTTTTAATTAATAGTTGACTCTTCAAAGCATTTATGATTTATTGATGTGTATCTGATACACAATATAAAATATATATATATATGTATATATTAGGTACAGATACTGTAAATAATGCTTCATAAGCATACACTAAACTTAAAGAAGTACATTAAACTAGGTATTATAAATAATCAATTTTTTTTAGTAATTTAGAGTAAAATGAATAACCATTTATATAAATTTTAATAAAAATTAATTTAATATGAACAACAAACATATTAATATTTATTTCAATTAATACGATATTATGAAATTTACACAACAGCTTAAATATTATTAATTAAATTATTAGTGTAATATAGTGAAAATTAATTATTTTAACTATTTTAAAATGATTTCGATTAGTTATCTATATTTCACACTATTTAACATTAATTATTTAAAATTCATGAATAAAATCCAAAAAATATAAGATAATTGTATACGTATTTTATTGGTTTTTTTTTTTTTTTTTGGTCAACTATAAATTAGTGTAGTAATCGATGAATAATAATATTTTTATTTGATTAATAATAGGAAAACATGATTATAGTATTAAATCTAGAAAAATAAAACATAAGTATTTAATAGCCTATCAAATATAATTGAAGTTTTCATTAAATTTAATAAAATGATAATAAGGTCTAAAAGATATATTAAAGATTCTGAGCACATGCCTAAGAGCTGTGAAAGACACGTAATACAAATACTAACCGGATTCTACATGTCAGTTTTTTTATAAAGAATGTTTTTTTTTTTTTTTATCAACATCTGAAACTCAATGATAAACTTAGTCAGTAACTACTTACTGTTTAAGTTATAAAATTGATTAACAAATTAATACAATTTTATTTTTTTAAGCAAATCGTTTAAAAAGTAAATAATTAAATGTTATTTTATTTAACTTCTTTATACATCAAGTTATCATGATATGATATCACGAAATATTAATATAGTTATTTATAATACGATACATAGTTGATTTCTAGATCAAATAACTTAAAAAATTTTATAAAATATAATAAATAAAATTGCTTGTATTTAAGTGGTAATTTTAATTAGATTAAGTAAATACGTAATTAAATTTAATTAATTTCAGGATACTAAGTGGTACATTACAATGAAAATTTTAAAAATCATTATATAATATTTTTTCGTTTGTTGAAATAATTTTTTTAAGTATTACATTATTTTGAATTTATAAGAAAGAGACATTTAATGGCATATGGATTTCTAAAGTCTAATCTTGTTATTAATATTATAGCAAATTATTCATAAAGTTAATTTATAGGTATATTAAATTATCCATGAATTCGCTATCATAGTTAGTAATTATTACTTTGGTTTTTCCTATACATAAATATAATGAAAAAAAATTATCATATTACATAATATACATGATATTTAAGTATTGATTTTTAATAAATTTACACTTTTGGTATTTATTTATTAAAAAAAAAAAATTGAAAAATTGGCTTAATTATGTGTTTTTGGTGATATTGTTTGATAACAAGAGTTGATATCCCTATTTTTCATTAAGGGATAGTAAGAACTCTGTGCATAAAAAGAAAACTAATAAAGTAATAAATCGTGAAAAAAATCTTTTCATAGAAACAAGAATATTATAATAATAAATATGATACGAGTTATTATATTAATAACTATTTGATATTTATTTTTTTATTTATTCTATTTCGAACTTTGTTGTATTTATTTTAGTTTAACCAGGATAAATTTACACAATATTGAAAATATTTAGCAATATTAGGAGTAAGAGCACGATACTTGTATGAGTTTGGCTATATTTTATTATCCATATTATAATTTTGTTTATATCAAAATAAATCTACTTACAAATTACGTTTTAAATACTTAACTAGTTAACCAAACTTCAATTTAATAAAGCAAAAATGTCAACATTTAAATGTTATAAAATTATAAATTATAGCAACTAACTAAAGTGAACTCACTGGTTTAAATTTAAATAATTGATTTCATAATATTTAAAAAATATTATTTTATATACATGTACTTGGTCTTCCTAACACAATATGGTCTTTATAAGTTAAAATCTCTTAAAAAAACAATAAGTAATATAATTTGTTTTTAATATTTATTATAGGTAACCATGTAAGTATGTTAATTTCCATTGATATTTAATTCTAGGTATTCAATCTATGAGATTGCAAAATATTAATACAACATTACGAAAAAAAAACCATTGAATTCAAGTTGTTTCAGTAATAACACTCTATATATTAAGTACTTTTAAAGGAAATAGTTGAGTGCTGATAGCAACGAAGACAGATTGAAATAGAACAGCTCTCAGCCAGGCCTAAAGAAGTACCATTATTCGAGTTGCGAGGTGTTACACGACTGAGTTTGATATGGCTACTAAATTTATGGCTAGATTGCCCCCGCATCACATTTAGCCCGAAAATTAACGTAGAATTGAAGAGCACTAGCGAGAAATCACAACGGTAGTAATCAATAAGAGCAAGACGTGAGATGACATTACGCGAATAGTAGTAGCTATAGGGCCAAATGACGAAGAAAGTGTAGACGTGGATGATGATATCAGATATCTGGAGATGGGTAAATCAACCAAGGTTCGGAACCATGTCTTAACACAGTGTCTAAGCATTGTCGGGATCCAGATGATATCAGCTCTATTTCTAGAGAAGAAGGAAGACAGTTGATCCCCACTACAATTATTACGATGAACCTGAAGACATAGTGGGATATAACTACACTGTTCATTGTTCGTACTAAATGACTGAATGAATAATAGACGCGAGATAAAGTAATGTATAGGTCGGTAACTACAGTTTGAAGATGTCCCTGATATCATTCTGGGGCCGAAGCGAGAACTCCTCCCAGATGATACAACGTTAAGACAACGGATTGAGAAGTCAGTGGGAACATTGAAGTTGGTGTTAAAAGATGGTACTCGGGTAGAAAGAGGCTGTAGAGTTTGATAAATAGGTAAGAGATAGACGGTTAGGTTAAATATAGTTTAATTCTGTGGGTCGAAATTCAACTATTTAGGGTGATTAGAGGACCTCATCTATGTATAACGTATTTAAAAACTGCTGAATAAAACATGCAATACCCGGTGGAAGTAATACGTGATACAGTTCCCATG